TATTACTGGGACCTAGATTTATTATGTTGTGATTATTTAGTGAACTCTAGCGCATCATCAATCAACATAAATAAAATCTAACATGCATAATATACTAATGCAATAAAGCACGACTTAGTATGGCCCTTTAGTCCTAAGAAAACTAGAAATGAAAATGCTCCCACTTGAATCATCATGGATCTCCATCCACCTTGCTCCTTTAGGCCTTCACTTCATGGGCTTCTTTGGACTAACACTATTTGAATAACTTTTCTATTTACTTCAAATAAAAGTTACGAAAATACTTAACAGTACGCAGACCGTATTTAGATTACAAAAATACTTCACGATGCGCAGATCGTATTTAAGAATCTATGGGTCATACTAGTCTATATATAGCAACATAATATCAGATATTACAAAAGTGCCATATAATAAATCACTCAACATGCTTGTCTAAACTACACCATCAAATATTCATAATAAAGTCAACGTATTTCCCAAAATATCTTATATTTTAATCATAATTAGATAATATCATATATTTAATTTAGTCATAAGATAGAATCAAATCATATTTTAATCTAGAAAGATAAATCATATTTAATCTTTCATGATTATCCTAACAAATTTAGGAGATTCTATCCTAATTACTAGCCAATCAAATAATTTTAAAATCAATTATATCCTAAACTAATTATGGGATAATCACATTATTTAAATCAATTATTATCCTTTTGGAATATGCTCAGAATATCCTAATCAATCTTATCCAAAATTAACCACTTTAATTAGGATAATTACCAATTTAACAACTTTAAATGTGGATAATATCAAATATAACAACTTTTGAATGTTTGTTTTTATCCTAAAATAAAATATTTTATCCAAATAAAACCAATTTTATCTTTTTAAATAAAAGATCATATTTTTCAAAATATTTTATCTTTTCCAAAATAAAACTGATTTTATCCCAAAATAATTCTCAATTATCTTGAAATAGTTTTTTAAACAGTTTTTTTTTTTTTGAAAAACTGTGACTGCACGGTTGCTGGCCACCGTGGTTGGATAGCCGGAGCTAGCAACGGTGGCTGGCTACTTTGCAGCAGCCACTGCCGTAAGGCAGCAGCACCCGTAGCAGTGGCAGCCACGACAGCAGTGTGCAACGCTTGCACAGCTGCTGCCTCAGCCACCCCCGACCTCCACCCTCCCATTCCCTCCCTCTTGGACCAGCACCTGGTCGGCAGACGCCGTGGCTGCGCCACCCAGCCGCGGTTGCCGACCTTAAATAATTTTTTTTGTGTTTTTAATCTAATTAAAATAACACTTATCATAATTAAATTAAATCAATCCATAAGATTAAATTTAAATCATATTCAACTTTAAAATTAGGGTTTATTATAAAATCAATCCCAATTTAATTCTAACTTTTAAAATTAAATTGATCATCATACATGAAACATTTTTATGCATAAATCAATCCGATTATTATTATGAATCATAAAATAAACCGAATTAAATCAAAATCAAGCACAAAAATCATATTTCAGGGCTAGGATTTTTGAAAAATTCGAAATTTAGGGTTAGGGGGTTCAAAATTTTCGAACATATTAGGGCTATAAACGGTCATCTTCATGGCTATTTGAGCATAATTAAATCACATTTAATCGATTCCAAAATTTTAACCACATTAAAAATAATAATTGAACCATAATTAAATTAATTTGTCCCTCTTAATTGATTATAAAATTAACATGGACATCAAATAATCGTATTATTATGATCAAGCGCGTTCATGCAAGAGGCTAATTGATCCACTGTAGGAGTTTATAGGTACTACGCAGCAAAAAAACATGAATCATATTCAGTCAAGTACCAATCCCAAGAATCACATGCACAACACACAAGACACGTAATCGTACCTTTGACGCATGAATCCCACGAAGCTATTCGACAAGAAAATCAAGGAGAGAATAGAGCCCCAAGCGTTGCTCCTCTACTTAGTCCATGAGATTCGAACAAGCCGTCCACCAATACTAGATTGGTCGAGTGATTGAGGAAAACCGCGATCACCACCTTTATGGACAACCGACCACCGCACAAACCACCACCACCACGAGACACCACCGGCGCCGAGGAGGAGGAGAGATCCGTGTGAGAGAGGACTCTGAGAGGGGTTGGGTTTCGTGTTTGCTAATTAGGGTTTGATTATACTGATCACTTAATTGCTTCTTACTGCAAACCTATGCACCTAGTATATTTATAATCTCATTATAATTAGACTAGGGCACGAAGCCAAAAACCACTTCTAATCCCCATATGGCCGGCAACCTAGAGTGATGAGGCCCATGATGGGCCTCGTCCTCTAATGCTCGATCTAGCCCCTTTGTGTGACCTTATAAGATCCGTCCAATTGGGCTTTGGGCTATTTTACTAGTCCAAAGATCGTTAGTACCTCTAGCTATGGCAAAACGACGACCCAAAAGTACGAACTTAATTATCTTCATAATTTGATCCAATTATATATCTAGTAATTGCACACGACGAAGACATAACTCCTTCAAAACCATCATCATTAATCCACACAAATCATCATCAATAATCATCATCAATAAAGACCAAGAGCAATACCAACCATACCATTATACCCACCATCATACATTCCAACAAAAACATGAACATATCAAAGCCATTGATAAGGATAAGATGCTCAAAAGCACGTATATAAGGAGAAGTGAGACAAACACATCAACATTCTATTGTTCTAGCCTAGGCATGCCATAAAATCGAGAAAAGAGCACAACCAACCTAAAATAGGCATGCAATCTAGAACATAATAACACATGAATCCTACCACAAGTCCCAAAGGCCGAGTTAAGCCTTTCATGCCAAACATTCCACATACTAACTCAAACTTCTCTTTATATAGCATAAGATCATCACATGAAAGCACAAGTCCTACCAAAATCGAAATTACCCTATGTACAAAGACCCCAAGACTTCCCCCAAGCTAGACATGTGATTATCGTTCCCACGATAGATAGACACAATGAGAAACATCTCTCCCCAAGCTAGAACTCGACACCGGCCTCGGTGTTTTACATGATGGGAAAGAAGAGAAGGGGACAGTAAAAACAAGTGTCTAAAAGCTACTCCCGATCATCCTCTCTAGGTGGCGATGGCATGTAGTTATAGTTGATGTCTACATCGCCGAAAAAAGAAGGTTGATCCACGTATGGAGGAAGATCATAGTTGGGGCTACTACGATAGTGACCGTAGTCCGGCGCACTACTAGTACCCCAACCACCGTCATACCCGGGTGGAAACCCGAAGTATCCCCTTAAGGGGGTGGTTATCGATCTTCTCGGGAGACATCTTACCACTTGTCTTGGGCACGTGGTAATAAGAAGGGCCCCCCTAAAATCACAACCTCTAGGTTATGTATAATCGTAGGGAGGGAAGGATTGTAGCTCCGAAATGGAGCTATGGGGTCCTTGCCTATAGGACTAGGTGGGTTGGTTGTTGTTCCAACCCGGAACCGGCCCCTCTTGCACGGGGCGGTGAGGATAGTTGACATAGGGGAGGAAATCTCCCCTCTCAACTTGGTTTTGATAGGACATTTGAGACACATAGCTTTGATATTCATTTTCTTGGAGAATTCTTTGGTTGGTAAGGTTGAGGTGGTGAAAGGCCGACTCAAGATCGAAGAAGGAGGAAGATGAGGAGGATTGGCCGCCCATAAAAGTAGGAATGGTAGATACGCTATGGCGGTGGGGTTGAGATGGTTGGTCAAGATCGGGAACGTTCCTAGGGGGTGGCTCATTTGGCACTTGCCAAGTGTTCCCCACAGTGTTCAATACCGCCGCATTAGGGAGAATGTAACGGTGTTTCCCCTTGACCAACCAAGAGTAGGTGGTCACATTTCCCTGGATTTCCACAAGCATATGCATTGAGGCAAGTCCGGCAAGGTCAAGGGCATTGGAGCCATTCACCGGGGTTAATTGCTCAACCTAATTGGTGAAATGCAATGCCTTGGAAATGATAGTGATCATCCCACCGCACTTGATCTCACCCGTAAACTCCAAACTCTTCTTAATTTTGAGGCACCGTTTAACAAATAAGTACCCCATATTCACATTACCCTCAAGTTCCCCCTCAAATCAGGAAGCTATAAAGAGGCATTTTATCTCCTCTTTAGTTATCTTCCCGAGATCTTGCTTTGAGAAGCAACGTACCCCATAATTCTCATGAATATACGGAGTACGGGGTGGAAAATGTGGCTAGCATGGCTAGACCGGGTAGTGAATTTGGGGTATTCCGCGATAGTATTCCACCAATTGTACTCCTCGTAACTGTTGAGGTAGAAATTATCGGGATCGATTATTTGGTTGTTAACGGGCCATCCGAAAATCTGATTAAGGCGAGTTAAGCTTAATGTTTTTAGTTGGTTGAACATATTAAACTTAAGCTCGCACTCAATAGGATCACCCTCACCACTAACCTTTCGCATGGTTAAGGTAGAAAGGAATTCGAGAGTGAGCGATTCGTAAGTTAGCTCCCTTTTTTTGAGGAAGTCTAACCATCTGAAATTTTCAGCCACTTGTCGAATTCCATTGTCTATACCTAAGTGCGGGGAAATTAGGTTGTTGAGTAACCTCCTCACGACCAAACAAAATTTATTATAATCCTAAACTAACCCCTAAACAAGTCTAGTGGTAAGTTCGGAGTTGAACCACAAGGAACGATAATGTTAGATTGTTCTCGATCTAATTCTTAAGCTACGCCGAATTTGGCTTATGGATATTGGACACTACAACTACACTAACACACATATAAGGAGGGCAGACCCAGGCAATCATCCTGATTTACAAAATATTATAAATCAGGACTTTTGGTGGGCCCCATAGCGTACTGCATATTAATTTTATATTCCTTTGTACTTTTTCTCGTTAAGGACGGATTGTTGTCGTTAGTGTGGGCCATATAACGAGACTGTTAACGTCGTTAAGATCAAACCCAAACGTAAAATAGGAATTCCCCAAAAATTTTGACCCTCTTTTTTGGAACGCCATTGCTATCTTCATTTAGATTTGTTGGCCGATCCTTGACTACTCGAAAGATGACATAGGATTGTCGAGAAACTCAAATTACCTGCTTACTCGCACTTCCAGGTATTTCAATTAATAATTTTACATTTCTGTTTATATGTACTGATTAGTACTGCTTAGAGCTGTTGCTGGGTATCTCATTTGATCAGATTTGTCTAAGTCAAAATTATATGATTGTGAATTTTACTTAGTACTCGAGATTGGGCTCCTTATTTTCAATCCTATTCTGGCAATTTTATACTGTAATGGTGATGATGCGTTTCAGGGACTCGGTTACCTTAGCTACATTATATTTTCATCAATTATGTATATGTAGGGTTGTGTTGTTTCATTAATCAGTTCAGCATCTTTGGATTTAGTTTATGTAGAGGTTTATAGATAATGCTTTAATTTAATTAAATAATTTCTATCACTGATAAACCAATTGATTAATGCAAACACTCTAATTAGTTGAAACTGCAGTGTGATTAGTTGATTTTGGCATATTTATCTTCATAAGGCTGCTGTAAGTGACAGATTTCTTTAGTATTGGAGTGATATTGTCCCTAAACCTAGGTTGTGACATTTAGAAAAAGCCTGAATTACTTGTATATTGATTGTGTTTAAACTATGGTTTGATGTAATGGAGTTTCTTATATTATTTGATTTTCCCTTTATTACTTTAATATTCATGGTGGTGCTTATATTTGTTAGGCTGTGGAAATTTTTCCCTTATTAGCTTTAGATTAGGTAGTTACAATAGTTTTAATTTTAAATTTTTGGCTAAAATTATTCTCATGTTTTAACAGGTAATGCCGTAGGTTCAATAATAAACATCAATACGCAATGGAAGAGACTATTAATGGATCAAGTGATATTGAGGAGGCAGGTCAAGTAAACATTATTGACCCTATGTCAGATTGTCTTGTTGTGGGTGCTGAGGTAGGTCCCTCTGCAGAGTGTGTTCCTAATTATGTGATGTCTCCAATGAAGACCATAGAGACTGTAGAAGTAATAGTGTCAACCAATAAGGTTGCTGTGTATGCTACCATTGAAAGTCCTAAAGTTGGTATGGTTTTTAAATCATGGCAAGAGGTTGAGTCATACTACAAACAATATGCTGAGCAACAAGGATTTGTTGTCACAAGGTCTCAAGGATGGGTGTCGAAGAAGAATAATGAGAGGCGGGGGACTACTTGGTGGTGTGAATGTTGGGGTCATCCGGATACGAGGGCTAGGCGGGCAGCAAGCAAAAGGGCTAAGTCCATGGATGTCAGTGGGGTTGGCAAAGTTGATGGAGTTATTGGGGAAGATGAATTATCTCGCTATAAAAGGACATCTAAGAAATGTGAATGTGGTGCCATGATATATGCTAGCATGAATCAAGAGGGCCTTTGGGTGTTGCGAAAGGTTTTCCTTGATCATGTCCACAAAGTGTCCCCGACTGAGTCCAAGTTGGTCAAGGAATATCGTATGAAGAAGTTAACAACAAATGTTAGAAAGAACCTAATACACTTCTATGATGAGGGTACCCCAGTAACTCAGATTCATGGTTGTTTGGGGTTGGACAAAACTGAAGAAATCCTGCCTACCGTGAAGGATTTACAACACGAGATCTACAAGGAGAGAAGGACGCGTTTGAATATGGCTGGTGGTGATTGTGCTGCTATGATGGAGTATTTTGAAAAGATGCAAGCTGATAACTCTAATTTCTATCACACACACCGCCAAGATGAGGATGCCCGTATGAAAGATGTGATGTGGGTGGATGCTCGTAGTATGGCGACGTTTGAGTATTTTGGAGATGTTTGCATGGATGCCACATATCTTACAAACGAGTATGAGCTCCCCTTTGTAAATGTCGTAGGAGTCAATCATCATGGGCCATTGATATTGTTGGGTTGTGCTCTCGTGTCACATGAAGATACGGACACCTATTGTTGGTTCATCCGTCAATGGTTGGCTTGCATGAGTAATAATCCACCTAAGTCAATCTTAACTGATCAAGCGGCTGCCATTCGTAAGGCAATTTCCCTAAAGATGCCTACAGCACGACTCAGATGGTGCATATGGCATATAATGCGTAAAATTCCGGAAAAGCTCGGGAAATGTGATGGGTTAGTACTCCGGTCAACCACTTCATTTTTGTTAGTTTCCTAGATTGTCTTTGAATGAATAAAATCAATAATGTTTCTCCACATTTAAATTTTAATGCATGCCTTGCAGTGTACATAATGCATTGTTGTTAATACAGTCCTGTTTTATGTTGATGGCCACTTTCTAGTTAAATTTTTAGGCATTGATTTTGCTGAAATGAAATTCACCTTTATGGTGAAACTATTCTTGATTTTATCATGCTTTAAATTATTATTTTACATGGAGTCCTTTTGTATTTTATTAATGGTTAGTTTAGGTGGGATCTATGTTAATACAGTTCTGTTTTATTATGTCGATGCCCTGCATTGTTGTAAGAGACACACACAAGATAGATACCTAACACATGCTGTTGTGCTTAATCTGAATTTAGTATTTATATTTCGTTACCGTATTTAAGTGTTGTATTTAGATTAGAACACCCCAATTATATCTAACACATTGCTGCATCTTTTATTTATTTTCTTGTATTGCTCTATACAGTTTTAAGTTATGTGTAATTAGTCACTAAGGACAGTGATCCTAATGTGTATCCCCGAATAAATTAGATTTTTATGCTCTGATTCCTGTTTGTCTATTTTTTCAGTTACATGGACTTTAAAAGTCCACTGAAGAAAGTCATTTATGAGAGTTTTACCAAGGAGGAATTTGAGAGTAGATGGATTTCTCTCGTTAATGAACACAAATTGGAGGCAAATGATTGGTTATCTGATCTTTATGAGGAGAGGCATATGTGGGTACCTGCCTTCATGAAAGAGCATTTTTGGGTTGGGATGAAGACAACTCAACGTGTCGAAAGCATTAATAGCTTCTTTGATGGCTTTGTCAATAGGAACACAAAGTTGCATGAATTCCCTTTGAAGTATAACAGGGCCATGACCAAGCGTGTTCGTGATGAAAACAATGCGGATGCTAGGTGTTCCAAGTACGAAAGGCGTCTAGTAAGTGGGTTTAAGTTGGAGAAGATATACACTAACACAAAATTTCAGGAAATTCAAAAGGAGTGTGCTCATATGATGTATGTTTATCCTCGGGAAGAGCGCATTCTGCAAGACAATCTTGTTTAGTATGTGTTGGAGGATCGGGTATGGATTATTCGCGAGGGATCAAAACAGGAAAAAATAACTGACCGTCGAAGGTTCTTATGTGTTACCTTCAATCCGGAAACAAAGGAGGTTACTTGTGACTGGCAAGTTCGAAACCTTTGGAATTTTGTGCAAGCACTGCATCCGTGTTTTAGACCAAAATCTTGTCTTTGAGATTCCAAAGCAGTACATACTTGACAGGTGGAGAAAAGACATAGTGAGAAGGAACACAAGAATAAAGGTCTCGTACTATGACCCTTCTGATACAATTGAGGTGAAACGTTTCAACAAAATGATGACCAAATTTGAGTATTTGAGTCCATTTGTGAAGATGCCTCTGCGGTTGATGATCCGACTGTTGATTTGGTTATGGAGAGGTTAACACAGCTTTCTAATGAAGTAATCGAGGCTAGGAGTGCATTTCAAAGCAAGAAAAATCCACCAGGTCTTCCCAAAACCAACATACTCCATCTGAGATTGGATCCAACTCCGCTTTTGCTAAATTTACCCCTCTATCTGTTACTAAACCTATTGCACTTGAAAAAAATGACAACACTGAAACTATTATTGATCCAAAGACTAGAAAAAAAACCACGTGGTCGTTCCAAGATTACCAGGTACAAGTCTTATGCGGAGACCGGGTACAAAAATATTCATAATCATACAAAAGAACCTGATCTAGCTCCACAGAAACATCAGGTCGGTTTTAATTTTATCTCTTATTACCAGACTTTATAGTTGTATTTGTTAGCAGACATATCAGTTCCTGCAAAAAATCGATTGACTCAGAATTTTCTATCCAGGTGAAGCGCAAACTAGATGTTTGTCAAGAACAGGATGCTGAAGAAATCCCTATTGTTCCGGTAATTCACTCATTCTTACATAAGCTAATTTGAGCATACTAACAGTCACAAACCTTTATTTAATTAGAACAGACACTTATCTGTTGTATTTTTGCTAGGCTAAACAGGTCAAAAGAAAACAAAATGTCAAAGCTAAGAAAAAGGTTGCAAAGAATAACGTCTAGGAATGCAACGACAACATTGGTGACTCCATTCCAAATGATAACGACCTGCTGCTAGGGAATTTGGTGGGATGGTCTACCCCTTCTAACGCCTTCTAATGATCAGCTACTGTGATAGGCCAATCTTAAAGTTGTAACTACAATTTTAATCGGTATCAGTTATTTGGGGGAGTACCATAATATGAAAGTTAATCTCTTCGTTAGTTATGATATTATTGTTATGAGGTTATTGTTATGTCCTGTAGTTTTTGCACAAGACTTAATACTTGCTTTATGTTAAAATTGTGGTCACAAACCATAATATGGGACACTTTGTCTCTGTTGTATGTATGTGGATTAAGTCTCATTCATAAGTGTTATTTTTCTTACATCTGTTTATGTTATTATTATTTCAATTGTTGGGGTCAAGTCATACTCAAGTTCGCATTGGTTTAGACCGATAACATTGTCTTTATACTGCTTTATACTCAACTTAATAAAAATGAAACAAGGCTTGATTTGTTTCTCAACTGTAATCCAAGGCATTGTCCTGAACACGGGTTGGAACAACAACGTATTCGGCAAATGTTAGAAACTAGCAAAACGGACCAAAGGCCATATTCAATATTCAATATGGGACATTTGTCATATAATTATGGACTTTACTCATATTAAGACCCTAACTTTGTTTGTTAGACAAAGTCACATCACCCCCTCAACAAACCGTCCAACACATCTTTAATATAAAATGTCTTCCTAACTTTGAACTGGGCTGTTCATTTCGTCTTATTATATTAATAATTTGGTTTACAAATCCAAAAATACATTTACGTGATTAATTTGACAATAATGAAAAAAATAGATTTAACTTTACGGATATTTACACGACTTTCACAATTTCGTGTTTCGGTTATTTTTCTGGTTTATATAATTTTAAAACATCATAATTTTCAGAAAACAAGAATCCGATCCGAAGCTATTAATATTTTGGATCGAACCAAATTGATAATACTTATTGGATTGGATTAGTTTTATGTTTTTATTCGAAGTGTTGGACACCCATACTTTGAAAATTCGCTTTATCCAAATTGGATCAAAATATTGGACACTTACTCGGTGGCCCAAAAATGAATACATCATTAATCAAAATAACAAACACTATTGGGTAGCCCATGTTTTGTTATTGGGTCGTATTTAACAATGTAAAAGGGATATACTTTCTAAAAACAATTATACATACCCAACTATTACCTTTACATGTAAGGGTAGGGGAAATAAATGATTATTCCTTCCTAAAACATATGCTATTAACTTATAACAAAACGTATCAGGTAACACATATTAATAAATCGTTAAAAATAATACTGGCTTATATAAAATATAAACATTCAATAATGCGGCCTTAACACAAATTTTAACTTAATAAACTTTAAAACATAATTTTACTGGCCACTTTTGGAATGTCAACAAAATAATGGGCCTCTTAAAAGTGGCCATATTTCAGTCCATGAACACTAAGTTGACCCAGCCCAACTAATACAAACATGGACACCCTAATCAAAGTAGGCTAACGACTTGCACACATCAATTAAAGGTAGATACTTGCATATTATACCATACTAATGACTTACACACAATTTTATATCACGATTAATAACCTATTTAGTAATTGCAATACCGGAAAAGTAAAAGATAATTAATAAGCAACATCTTGTTAAAGTCGCCATAAAACCCCCATGCAATTTCGTTTACTCATTTAACACCACTACGACAATTTCATCTCCATTCTCTATCTTTGCACCACCAACGGTATTGACAATGGCGAGAGACTTCCTTTCGTGGATGAAAATCACATTACCAGGATCCACGTTGGCTGCCTCGGCCCATTTGTGAAATAGATTAACCAAAAGAGTGTCACTTCCACCCGACACCTTGACCTTTATTGGGTCCCTTGCTACCTCAGTAATGTAGAAGACTTTGATTCTTGTATCAAGGTTTATCACATGGGGCTGCAAATAAAATAAATCACATCATAATTCCATTAAGCTCCGACTTTGGACGCACTAAAAACAGAAGCTTAAGGAAGACAGTAATAAAACGCTACAAACTTTAAGTGTAAAGAATAAACTTGAAAACGGTAACTATTAATCAAAAAAACACTTGCTTAAAAGATTAATACACATACCTTGCCCATAACATAAATAACATCACCCGTTTTCAGGTTAACATCTTCGGGCTTGTTGGACCTTAGGATAGAACGGTCATCATTTCATTTAATCAACCTAATCTCATTAGGTGTTAGATCAACCTTGCCGGCATAGTCGCAATATATGGTGTCAAAGGTCTCGTTGCTATGAATATTGTACATCACACCAACATCCCCGGGACGGAGGCTCCTAACCACGACCGAGAAATTGGTGTGCCCTTCATCTGTTACCGGAGGATCTGCAACATCTAGGTCGATGTCAACAGGGACACTCATGAGGTCTTCCGCTACCGGGATTCCCCTCATATCAATATCATGGACCACCTCGGGCCACTTTCCATTCCTTGAGGCTAGAGAAGGCGCCGCAAATGGTCCCATAGTTGGCATCATAAAGGGTTATTCATTATGGTTCCCAACGTTGTAACTTGGCGATGCACATAATGGATTCAACTCCACCTTCACGTCGGGAACCCCATCATTTTCAACAACTCCCTTGCCCGAGCTCTCACCAAACTCTCCAACAGTTGGTTTCATGCAGAGGACATCATTACTGTGATTAGGAAATGCAATTGAGGCCTCAGAATTTTTCATCATAGTGTTAATAAATAGTGACCTGCTTCTCTGGTACTTCTTCACTATTTTCTTGGCTTTCTCACCCGCATTGATCAAGGGGAAACGGGGAGGTTTGTTAGGGTTTGTCATTTGTAGGTGCTTTTGTTTAAGGTTAAGTTTGTCTATTGAAAGGTAGTTTATATGTTTGTTTTGAGCGTGTGAGGTAACTACTGAATCCTATTTTCATTATATAGGCGCCAAATAAAAATTTCCCTCCGTCACGTTTGCCTACTTGGCGCCAAAAAAATAATATTCTTTTTTGTAATTTATTAATTTTTTAAAATTATATATAGTACACAAGTCAATTTGATTTTTAAAACAAAATTATAGTATTCTTTTTTTTTTAATTATTAATTTATTAAAATTATATATAGTACAAAAGTCAATTTGATTTATTAAACAAAGTTAGAAATATCGTACACCGTAAATAAATAACTGAAAAGTTCAACTTAATCTCATACCATGTCCTGACTCAATTGGTTTTGAATCGATTGGTTTTGATTCGGAATTAATTACCTTAGTAACATAGTAAGTGATAATTTAGATGGGAAATGAAATCGTATTGTGTACACTTCACATGCAGCATTTTTAGGGTTCCATTTGTTAGGGGAGATGTTAGATTTTGGTCAATTAAAATTAGATAACTTCTTAATGATTACCTAAAACATACATTGGAAGTTGTGGTATTAACCTCAACCTTGTATTAGTTATTCATTTCTATAATGAGTAAACAATATCACCATTTTTGAACTTAAAATTAGGGTTTTGTATTATGGTGAATTTTCCAGAAAGAACACCAATTTAGTACTTTTAAAATAGTTCAGATGCGATTCTCCACTTGTATTACAACTATTTATGTACAAATGTTATCGTTATTGCGCTTATAAGCATACCTATTCAGCCAAAAGTTGACAAATAGTACAAATTCCCAAAGGGCTGTTTATGTTTGTTTCGGCTATTAATTTTAAAAAATTTTCCCCGATGTCCAGAAATTATTTGAACAATGAACGATTTATAAATCATTTCTTGTAGGCTTAAACACACTCTACTTAACTACTTCACATTATTAATTTAATATTACATCTTTAGAAAGTTATTTTCAGTCACACAATTTGCTATTTGTATCACATTATATGATGATTTAAATAAAACTTTAATAATTAGTAACAACAAAAAAAGAATGTCAAGTTTATTAACATTTACATATGTTACTCTGCTGGGTTTCAAATAGAACTTCGTACATCCAAATGCTTCAATAGCTTTGTTAAACGTTAAGTAAAAAAACAAAATTCTCGCTTATCGATGCACTTCAAATTCAACATAGAAACAATAAAATCCTGTAAAATTATGAATATATCCCATAACTCTAGGAATATGAAGATACTACCTATGTAAGGATTTTAAGAAATGTCAACACCTAAATGTGGACTAGTACTGCAAGATATGGAGCAACATTACCAGGCAATGCTTGTACAGATTATGTCTTATCTTAAACCCAATGTAGGCTTTATGTGAACTAATTTCCGAAAATTTTAATATGATGCGTTATTACTATCTTTTCAGTTATTAGGGTTGTACCCAGTTTTCGATAACACAGAACACTCTCCAAAATATATTCATGATCATTCTATATAGTCTATTTTACAAATCACTATCCAGAAATTATGTAATACAAATTAGATGTACTTAAAATTTTCAATTAGTATTTAAAAGAAACAGGCTGAAAACAATTAAGGATCAATTTTGTAATTCTAATATTATAAAAACAAGCTTCAAGACACACGCTACGCGTGTACACTATAAGAAATTAATTAATTTTCTCATTGTTATTGTGGATTTTTTTTTCCAAAATCAATAGTTACATAAACTTTAAATTTAAGAATGACATATATTTTTTTTGTCAATAGGACACCTACTCCACTTTGTGTACCTCAGTCAACCTTAAAAATTATTCTTCATCGTTGAGTTTTTATATAAAAGATTGAAAATAGAGTAAACATCTACGGTAATAGTACGTATATAGATTAGATTGATATATAGTTTTTCCTTTTATTTTTTCTAATAAATTATAAGTTTTTTTTTTCTTTGCAACGTAGATTTTTTTGAGGGAACTATATTTGTATTAATTTTCCTTTTTTTAAAAAATTAAATCCATGATATAGTTGTCTTTTAACAAAGTTTAATGTGGGTTTTTTCAATTAAAAAAACAAAAAAGTATATATTAAAAAGTATATATAGTATATACTGGTCACTGTACTTCATTTTTATAAGGTAACATATTTTTAGTTCCTTTTTTATTATGTTTTACGATGTTTTTTTATTTCAGACCTTGTAATTATATATTAAAAATGCTAAAAAAATACATGTATGATCAATTAAAAGGTTTTAAATTATATAATAATTTTCGTAAAATCATCTAATAAAAAATATATGTATGTTTTTGTCTGTAATTTCTTAACTTTTTCTGTTATGCTACTACAAACAATCAACATTATGACTTAAATGTAATGTACATTTACTTCACTTACTATTAAATTTTAAAATTTCGCAATACGATTTTAATCTGATCCT